AAAGGTGCCACCCCCTAACTTCTCGCCCACTGATGGGTGCTTGATTCTCAGTGTTTAACTATTAGAGAACGAACAGCCGCAAAGTAAATCGTTGCTGGCTCTATTGATGAACAACGTAACGCCATCATGACACCCCCCCCCCCCCCCCCGGACACCATATGAATACCTGTCACGAATACCTGTTACCGGATACCTGTTACCGAATACCTGTTACCGAATGACTTTGCATTTTAGCAATTCGACGAAGACGACGACGAAGAAGATTATCACCCAGACTCTGAGGACCTGGAAGAGGACAGCGAAGCTGAGAGCGAAGACTCCGCGCCCGATGCGACCGACACGGAGCCGGGAGCCGACTCTGCGGCCGTGAAGCGACCACGAGAGGAGGAGGAAGAAGAAGAGTTCAAAAAGCCACGAGTGGAACAAGGCGAACCCAAGGCGGAGTGAGGCGAAAATGCAGGTCTAAAATGACCGACGGTTGGACCAGATCCAACGTTGCACTCAGGTCTGCACTCGGGTTCTGGACACGGGCAGCCTATGCAGATAAAACCGAAGTGTGAACCTTATGTGTATAGTTAGAAAACAGCGTCCCTAATCTCGTCAGCTTGCTTTCCCACCTCCCCCTGGCTGCTGTTGCCGTCGGCCTGGGGGTCCGAGTTCTCACGCTGCTTCGGTCGCTTACCCCGTCGCCCTTGTTGGCTGCTTCGTCTCGATCGTTTTCGTGGGAACAGGAGCTGGAAGGCCTTCCGTCCCGACTCCCCTCGCACGCGCACAATGTATGACGCGAATCCTTATTTAGATAAACGGCTTAGCGGCATGTGTACGCATATCGTGCCACGTAGATCGTGTCATGTAAACGGTGTGTGGTAAACGGTGTGTGTGGTCAACGGTGTGTGGTAAACGGTGTGTCACACATGACACCGCCCATCACATGTTTTGTGTCGACGTGTGCGAGTGTGTGAGACAGACGTGTTGGTGTTTGTGTACCGTTGTGAGAGACGGCATCACATCCGAGTCTGTCTCGGAGTATGTGCTGGAGGCCGATGCCAAGTCGGTTGGGTCTGGTCTTGGAGGCGCAAGGAAGGTAGCCGATGAGGACGGCTTTATCTTCACTGGTGACAGGCGGTATGACTGCGAGAATGATGTGCGGGCGTGATTCTTCGGGAGCGCCACCAGAGAGGATGCGGGAGAGTGTATCGGCGACTCGTTGCATTGTGAAGGGACAGCGTGCGATGATTTCGTGTGCGTGTTCTTCGATGAAACCCTCGAGTGTATTTTTAACACCCACGATGCCGTCTGACGGTGTCCGTCTCCGCATCAACAGTCGTCGAACGACGCCCACGGCCTCGCGTTGTACTGTATCCGAACGGCCCAGCGCTGCACGCAATAACGCTCCTACCATCGGCGCTAAGTCCGCAGGCCGCCGTAACCAATCAAGCACTGCCAACGCCTCCAGAAAACGCCCATTCACGTCCACTGAACACGCCAACTGCTCCTCCAATACCTCCAACCGTTGACGTTGCATACCCACTACACTAGACATCTCTTTCTGCACTAACCTATCTACTGAACGATCCTCATGTAAAGACGGCACAATGTGCAACGTCAACAACAGTGCCAAATCCATGCTACTCAACACCCCGTGAGCTGTCTTCATCAAAACCATCGGCAAAATAAAGTTCGCCGTAGGATACTCCGGGTACGATAAATATCGACCAAACACACTCTCCATTCTCCCACGACTCTTCTCGATTGTATCCACACTCGGCACTTCTTCCCAACATTGCTAAAACCATAACCATGACCGGACTCAAACGCGTGCTGTCACACAGTGTGTGCTCCACACAGTGCTTGTGCTCCCACAGTGTGCGGTGGATGGAAGCACAAGATGTGTCACGAATGGATTGTACAGAGTTAATCTCCAGTTCGGTTCGCAGTGCGTTTAGATTGTCGTAGATTAATCTAGCTCCAATATGTAGAATTGAGAATTCCGCCGTATTTTTCAACGACTGGAACCTAAGCAATGGTAAATTGATCTCTTCCTGTAAGTTGCATTTCATTATCCTTCGGATTTCATTAATCTGACTTAAGTACTGTCGGTACGTGTAATGTCCTTGAAGAACATGAAAGGATAACGACATGGCGGCATAGTAGCCGAAGAGGTCGGGTTGTGTGGGACGCGACGAGGTTTCAACTGAATCGAGTATGCCAGTCTCGACTAGTGCTTCATAACAAATCGCGTAAGACGTATCGTCAGCCACGTATTCTCCAAGGTCCAAACTCATTATGTCCACGATGGTGCTGATGGAATTAGTATCGTGATCCGACGTGGACTTCTCAAAGCTACCGGCCTCCTTTTTGTCATAGACCTGCACCTTTAAGCGAGAGTAGTCGGCTTCTGTCAAATATATATGTACGGCATTTGTCGCCAGCCCACTTGCTGCTTTTCGACGTCCCGCCATCTGCTCCAGGGAATTGGACACGTATTCTGGGTCATAAGGTCGGTGGTAGTCAACCAAGCACAACAGTTTGTCTCCGCTCCGACGATTCTGGTAACCTTGGTCATTCCTCATCTCTCTGTCTCTCATCCCTCTGCCCCTATTATCTCCCTGTGCGTTCTCTCCTTCATTATGTACCTCTTGATCCGTGAATAGGTCCCCGATGTATATCCTTGCACAACAGTTGATGAATATCACCACAGCACTTTCCTGTCGAAACCTCACACTCGCCAACAACAGGTCCGCATAACACGCAGCCACGTACAACTTCACCAGCAGCCCCAACCGTTCCGACAAGCACGACTGTAGCACATGGACACATAGCAAAGAGTCCGTGTCATTCGCAGACAAGATCACAACTGTGCGGCAATCATGCTGCTGCAGAAATTCCACCGTATCTGGCAGCAATCTACCAGCCACATGGACCGTCTCTTCGAACACATGCTGCAAAAGCGCCTGACGCGTCGGAGGCTGCGCCATACATTAGGAAAAACCGACCACCTGCCCTCAAACCAGCACCAAACGTACTCCAGAGCAAAATGCCCCTATTCTTGGGCCCCGCCGACCCCGTAAAGCCCGAGCCCGTTCCGACCAACTTAGCTGGCCTTGAGTCACATAACCAGGCTAGACCCTCAACCACCCCCTGGATCCTTTTTCCAGAGCGCGTCTTTGGCGATGACGTGGAGAAAAGGCCTGGATACGGCGAGGAGATCGAGCTCTGGGTCGAGTTGGTTGCCAATGCCCTCGACGATACCGAGAGCGAGGACCACGCCAAGGAATTGTGGTTCGAGTTGAACGCGGTGGCGGACACATACGGAGAGGATTTCACGGAGGGCACGCCCCGCATTCATGTCGTGCAGTTTGAACCGGGATCGTAGCTGGCGGTTGGGTAGGACCAACTTGCTGCCTAGCTTGCTGCCTAGTCTGCTCCGGAATATTGAGGCGAACACCTTGTTAGCGAACACCTTGTTAGCCAACGTTTTGTTAGCCAACGTTTTGTTAGCCAACGTTTTGTTAGAGCCTGTCTTATTGACGAACGCCTCAGTCAAGAGTTTTTTACCCAGTCGGTGGCCGAAGGGTGAGTAGGACTGGAGGAAGTTGCCCGTGTCCAGCATGACCTCGAAGGGTTTAATGCGTGGTCCGACGAGTCGGCTAACGACATCGGCCACCTCGGTGCAGAAGGCGTGGGGGTCCTTGCAGTCCTGTTTGAGTGCGCGTTCCACCAACAGCCGTCCAGCCTCGTAGCCTTCGCCGAAGGTGAGTGCGCGGAACAACTGGATGAAATTCAGTCTATCGCGCTCAGTCAGCGAGGAAGTCAAACCAGCGTCCAATAAAACCAAGTCGAACAACGGACGACGCGTCATCCACTGGCGCCGCACACGCACCAACAAGTTGCCTGGATGAAGATCACAATGCACGTAATTGTCCCAAAGCAACATTTGCAGAAACATGTGGCATCCGAATTTAGCCAACTCATGCCGTAACAACTTGTCCGAAAGAGACGATGGGGATGGGATCGAGGATGGGGATAAGGACAGGGGCGAGAGTAAGGACGGGGGCGACCCCCTGAATGACGACTTATGCTCGAGACCGCCATGCAGTCGGATCCATACGTCGAGCGGAACTCCCGACTCGTGACTTTCCGTCAAGACGTCCTGCGATCGCAGTCCAGGATACGCGTAAGGCACCACTACCCGACCTCCCGGATTCATCAACCGGGATTGCAATCTCCCAAAGTTGCGCCGAAAGTGCTCCATATTCCGACCTTCCACCATCAGATCCGTCTGCGGCATAATAAACATCTCAAATTGCTTAACACTAAAAGAAAGTAAATCCAAGGTTTCCCACCATCAGCAACCGTTCCGTCCAGTCATGTGTTCCGTCCAGTCATGTGTCTCGCCCTGTCACGTATATGTGCCAAATGGTCATTGGTCCCAGATAGTCGTTGGTGCCAGATGGCCATTGGTGTTAATCTTACTATTCATCGAGCGGTAGCCAATTATGTGACTCTCCTTGCAGTACAGAGGCACACCTGGCAAGCCGGTTCAGCCACCACAGGTCGGCTTCAATCTTGGTGCGGACTCCCGGGCGTAGCACCTTCATCACGGCCTTTTCCCATCTCGGTCGTTTGGAAACGCGGCCAAGTCCACGGATCATGACGGCATGCACCTGAGCGACACTACCCCCGCCCACCGCGTCGGGTTTCACGTAAACTTCCTGCTCGTCCAGCTCTTCCGTGCGCCAGAGAGTGTACCATCGCCCCGATCCTGGGTTAAGAGCGCGCTGTGTTCTGTCACGGTCGATGGCATCCATTATGCTCAGCCAGGTAAACGGGAACGGGTCGGCCGGAACGTTGGCCTGGTATCGAACGGCGAGCCGACTCACCGACTCCGGAAAGATATCCTTCCTCGTCCCGACCCACTGCAGGAATTTAACCGCCGTAGGCCCCAAAGTAGCGATACCCTGAGTCATTAGCTTCACCGGCGTGTCGCTTATCCGACTGCCTCTTATCTTGAAAGAACCAGGCACTATCGACAGGGGACTCGCCAGCAATGCGCTGGAAACATATCCCAACACCCCCAAGCTCGTCACGCATGTTTCCACCACAGAAAAGACGCTCCAAGCTGCTCTGTCCCACTTCTCCTGCAGCCTTGACTGCGCCGGCAACGTCTCATGTGAGACTTCACTCAATGATTGGGTATCGCGGGATTTTATGGTGGATATTGCGTCCACTCCGAATGATAGCACACGCGTGTGCTAATGATTTTCGTGAGTTTGGTTGCGGTATCTACCCTATGTCTGGCTTTCGGCCCGCTGTCTTGTAAGAGCAAAGTGATGTAACCGCTAGGTGGTGCAAGATTTAGGACACCTCGAGGACATAGTCGCGTTTCGTTTTGGCGTCAGGAGCGACGAGTACCGTTTGCTTCAGCGGATCATCGCGGACGACGACGTGCTGAGCTTGGCGGAGACGGAGGACGCAGGCCTCCTGGCCCAGGCTGTAGCGAATTCCACGGTCGCATACTTTCACAAAAACATGCCGACTGTGCCCTCGTCTTTTATGATGACCGCAGATTATGGGCTGCTGAACGAAGACGATGGTACCCCGTGTGCGACCCAAGAGGAGTGCGACGCGGTAGCCAGTCGGCTGGGTCTATGCACGTCGCTGAGAGACGGAGTGAGTGCGGCCTACGACACGTTCCGAACAATGACCAATGTCTTGGCAAATGTGTAAGAGGGGCCCGTTTCAATGGGAATTCCAGCAGGTGGGAGACCTACCTGATTTATGACGCGTTCTATCATGTGATGCAGTTTACTATGAATGCGTTTCTACCACTCGGTCCTACCACTCGGTCCATTTCAGTATGACGGCAATGTGCGCGTGTATTTTCGTCGGGCCCGTGCACGTGTGCGTTCTGGACAACCTGCCGTACACATGTGGCTGGCCTTATCAGATCTATGGCACGTTTGCTAACCTGGGCAACAGTGTTTGGGATGCGGTGCGAACGTTGTCTACATTGTGCTCGGCCATGGGTGCCTCGGCCTCGATTGATTTTTGACGTCCAAAAATATCTAGGGGGGACGGTGATGGGCGATGCAACGGAAAGGATCATCGAGACCTTGAAAGTACGTACCGCTTCTTGTGCTCAGCACGTCGGCACATGGCCATATTCCTTGTCTCCCGGATTGATATACCCCCTCATGCTTCCCCCCCCCCCTCTCCCCCCCCCCCCCCCCCCCACATCCTATCCCGTTTTAGCGTTGTGAGTTGGTACCGGAACCGGATGTTAAGTTTCTTTGCGAGAGAGCTAGCGAGCTGTTGAGTGAGGAGGCTAACGTCCAACGGGTGTCTAGTCCGATTACGATCTGTGGAGACATTCATGGACAGTTTTACGATTTGTTGGAGTTGTTCCGGGTCGGTGGTGATGTTCCTGCCACGAATTACTTGTTCTTGGGTGACTTTGTGGATCGTGGATTCTTTTCAGTAGAAACCTTCTTGCTCTTGCTGGCTTTAAAGGTTCGGTATCCTGACCGTGTGGCCCTCATTAGAGGTAACCATGAGTCGCGTCAGATTACCCAAGTCTATGGCTTCTATGACGAATGCCTTCGCAAATATGGATCCAGTACTGTCTGGCGATACTGCACGGAGGTCTTCGATTATCTCGCTCTTGCCGCACTGGTAGATAATAAATACCTATGTGTACATGGCGGCCTCTCCCCGCACATCTCTACCATTGACGCGATTCGAACCCTCGACAGACACCAGGAAGTGCCCCACGAAGGCGCCATGTGCGACCTGCTCTGGTCCGACCCGGAAGAAGTCGACAACTGGTACTGCAGCCCAAGGGGAGCTGGCTTCCTCTTCGGCGGTTCCGTAGTAGACGAGGTATACCCGCTCTCATACACCCACACACGCACCCGTTCGCACACACGTTCGCACACACGTTCGCACTCACGTTCGCACTCACCTTCGCACTCACCTTCGCACACACCTTGGAATGATGTCATGTTGATCCGAGTATGATTTGTCGCCTTGTAGTTTTGTCAGAAAAACGATATAGAGATAATTGCAAGAGCTCATCAGCTGGTCATGGACGGCCACAAATGGTGGTTCGGAAAGAAACTAGTAACAGTGTGGAGCGCTCCCAACTACTGCTACCGATGTGGGAACAGCGCTTCCATTATGGAACTGGGAGATAACAATTCCATCGAGTTTAAGAACTTCGAAGCTGCGCCACCGGTAAGGAAACTCCCCGCCCTCTTGTCCGGCCCAGCAGCCGCAAACTGGCCAGTGGTTAGTTAGTCATTGAGTATTGGTTGGCTGGTAGGTTGAAAAAATATTGCGTTTTCTTTAGAGCGATCGAGGGGCTCCGGCAAAAAAGCCTATTCCCGACTACTTCTTATAATGGCTGCGGCTTATGATGGCTACGGTGTAGTTAGCTGACCCTTTCGCTTGTAGGTTCCTGAGCGAGCAGGATTATTAAGCACGTTGCTTGGCGTAGTTCTCTGAAGTCACCCGCTTAAAGCGGGCGTGTGGGCGAAAGTGTGCGTGCGAGAGTGGGCGACCCAAAGCGGGTGTTTTGTAGATATTATCTGTAGTGCTAGTTGGGGGTGCCACGTACAGGGTGACATGATCATTGGTTGTAATCGGCCAGGTACTTTTCCTTACCACATTCGCTGATGGTGGAGAGATGGTCGAGATCGCGGAAGTGATTATCAACATCGCAGCCGAAGCCAACAATAAATTGGTCGGTGACGTCGAATGCAACCCAGTCAGGAATAAAGCCGTTCCAGAGAGGTGTACGTTTGCTAAAGCCGCAGACGGTGCGTACGGATAGGACTTGGTCACAGGCAGAAAAGCGGTCGTAGAGGGCCTTGAGTGTGCTGCCTGAGTCAATGAGGTCTTCAACAATTACAACGTGTTTATGTTTACAGTATTCCACGACCTGAGCCACAGCCACGTCCACCTTCAAGTCGGGACCACGCGATGTGCCGGTATAACTACTGCAACGGATATACTCTTCTAGGTATGTTGACCGCTTCAGTCCGCGCATATCAGTGTTTGCGATCTTGCGCAAAGCGCGAGACAACTCGTCAAAGAACGTTATGGCACCCTTCAATGTTACCACCAACACCACCGGCTGCTCAACGTCTCGGTAAAATTCATACATCTCACTAGCCACCTTCTCAATGCGGTCCACAATTTGCCCCCGAGTCAGAATAATGTCCTCAATCAACGGGAAATAGTGCGGTGGCACGCAGTAACTCTCCTTCGGGGTCCTATGGTTGTCCGGGATACTCACCCCCTTACTCAAATGACCTATCGGCTCGCGACGCACTAGCGACACATTTGACGAACACGTGCTCAACGGAGTCTTCTCCGCCTTGCTACTCTCCGCCTTGCTAGTCGCAGACTTGATGGCCTTGCTGTCACCTGCCCCCGCTGATGGACTGCTCATTGCCCGCGGAAATTTTTTTTTCTGCGATGAAGCCCCAGGGGCTGTTCTTCACCACCGCCGTCAGTCTGATCGCAATCGTAAGCGGCGACCCCTCGGTCCCCGGCTTCGTGCTGGTTGAGCCACTCGTGCCAATGAACAGTATACTACCTGCACACACTGGGGGGGAGCGAGAACCAGGTCCCGCTGGGCATCCAATAGCGGTCGGCTCTCCTGCGCACCCCGGACCAAACGAGCCGCGAGATGTGCAGAAAAGAAGGGGGAGAGGCGTGGAGGGAAGGGGGGATCCTGAGGTTGAGGAGCGAGATTTCCCTCACTCGTCGCTGCTCAAAAACGAGTCAGCGTCGACGAGGTCGTCGCCCACCGATTCGGCGACAACTGCTTACATAGAACCGTCAGCTGTCAACCCGGCAACGATTGAGGCGTCTGCCATAGCTGAGCTGTCCGGTAGTACCAACCCGGCTCCCAAGACTGAGGCGTCGACCAAGTCCGGGAAAGACCCTCGTACATGGAGTTTGAATCCCATCACGCAGGTGCAGGTTGAGGACTTTTGGGCACGCGTACAGTCGAACGAGGCACTGGAGGCGCCTTTGGACATGTTGTTCGACGTTGACTGTTATCAGAACCAGGACCAGGTCTGCATCGAGTCGTGTTTGTACTACTGTGCGATGTCGCGGCCTACTTCGTTCAACGAATGCGCGGGCAAGCTGCCACGGGGCTGCATCGCGTCATTCGGTGGCCTTCGACTCACGCGAGTCCCGACTGGCGCCGCTCCAGGGCCGTGGGCAAGGGGTGACCAGGGACTCGTCCATGAAGACCAGACCTGGGAAATCAAATTGCACTCTATCAAGAACCATATTTTGGATCTCCTCAGGTACAACCCCCCCCCCCC